CGCTGTCCCCTTCACTGTGGCACTGCACTCGCTGTCCCCTTCACTGTGGCGCTGCACATGCTGTCCCCTTTGCTGTGGCGCTGCACATGCTGTCCCCTTTGCTGTGGCACTGCACACGCTGTCCCCTTTGCTGGGAGAATCTTCTCCTTTTGACTTTCTGGCGAAGTCCTAGCTCAGAGATCACTTCCTCCTCGAAGCCTTCTCTCCCTGTGTCCCTCCCTCCTGTGACTCCCCACTCCTGTGTACCTCTGTGCTTCGACCATGCTTCCCCTGGTGTCACCACACTGAATGCAACAATGTGTCTCTTTCCTTATCTTTTATCTACTAGTCTACCAGCTTCCTTAGCCAGGGATGATGTCCACTCTCTTCTGTTTCCCCAGAGATTAACCCATCCCTGGTACACATTAATGATTTAATAAATATTTGTTGAATCAATGTCTGAATGAATGAGTCTCTTCTGTCTTTAGTGTTTTTTAAAATAAATTTCTATCTCAGAAACATTGAGAATCCTTAGTGAAATTTTTTTAAGTGATGTGCATTTGTTAGGGGCAACAAACAGAGGGATTTAGATCCAACTTCTAGTTTATCGTCATTCATTCATTCAAACCTCATTAATCAAGGACCACTATGTGTGTTACATGCACGTACGGAGCACTGTGAGGCATATAGGAGATGTTAGGCACAGTCACTGATCCTAAGAAGCTTATAAGGAAGGAGAGAAGATACACACACCTGAAAAGTTAATTACAAATACAATTTGGCAAATTTATGAATAAGGTGTGAGTGAGTAGTGCAGATAGAGAAAGCCCAGAGAAGGCTATGGTGGTCAGGGAAGGCTTCATGGAAGAGGTGGGCCTGGCTGGAGCTGGCTTGGAGGATTTGGCTAGGTGGAAAGGAGAATGTTTGCCGTCAGAGACTAGCATGAGCAGGGAAGCCAGAATGAACCATGCTCCCTCAGGAGCCAGACAGAGCATTGTATAGAGAAGGAGTAAGAAGTAAGGTTGGAATAATTGCCCTGAAGTGCTGTGTTCTGTCTCCAGAAACCTTTGCGATTACTTGTTTTTTCCTCTTCGCTCAGAATGGCTTGTCCCCAATTCACATGGCGGCTCAGGGAGACCACCTTGACTGTGTCCGACTTCTACTGCAATACAACGCAGAGATAGATGACATCACCCTGGACCACCTGACCCCACTCCACGTGGCAGCCCACTGTGGCCATCACAGAGTGGCCAAGGTTCTTTTGGATAAAGGGGCCAAACCAAACTCCAGAGCCCTGGTGAGTGGGGCTATTGGATAAGGTGCCGGAGGGGCAAGCACTGAGGGAGGCAGGACCAGACTGCATGGCCAAACCTCGTGGGAAGGGCACCAGCTGGTGCCTGGAACTACTCCTGAGATTCAGGGCCTAGAAAGTGGCAGTGCCTGCTAAGGTCCAGGAGGCATGGCAACACACAGCCAGGATGGTAACCTTCACACTCCCCCCACATCCAGCTGGGGGTCGCCTCCTGCACCCATGACCGTGGCCCCCGGTATCAGGATGAGGTCAAGGGTGGATTTGGGCCAAGGAGACCTGACTCAAGAAGTAGTGTTCATGGTAGGTATGTGGGTTGGGGTGCCATTCCATCTGAACCAGGCCCAGAGCTGAGGGATGGTGACGTCTTAGAGACTGCCTGGCTTTTTGATCTGCTTTGGGGCGAGTGAAATGGCCTGAGCTAAGCATCCTTCCTCTGCCGAGGGGCTTACAGTTTTTACAGTGCTCTTGTAGAGGTGAGTTCAGGCCCAAAGCGATTTTCTTACTGGGACTGTGGTTCCTCGTAGTCTTCGCCCAGGCCAGGGGCTCCCAGGGCAGCTTCAGGGGTTTGGTGGGGCCGGAGCTCTGCATAGGACATGCCCGTGACCACCATCTCCTCTCTGCCCATTTCCCCAAGGAGGAGGAGAATTGAGAAGGCAGGATAGCCAACAGGGACAGCAAGGATGGCTCGTTCACTCACTCAGCGTTCCCTGAGCACTCACCAGTGCAGGCACTGTTCTGGGATACGCAGGGTTTCTCAGCCTCAGCGCTAGTGACATTTGGGCCTGATAGTCCACATTCTGAGGGGCTGGCCTGTGCATTGTGGGATGTTTAGCAGCATCCCTGGCCGCTACCCACTAGGCACTAATAGCGTTCCCTCTGGTGGTGACAATCAAAAATGTCTCGAAACATTGCCAGATGTCACCGGGGTGGGGGGAGGGGCCAAAATCCCCTCCCCCAACTTTGAGAACCACTGCCCTAGGGGGATAAAGCACAGACAAAAACCAGCAAACAAAAAAACACCCCTGCCCTTGGGGAGTTTACATGCTTGTACCTCACTGTAGAGCAGAGCTGATATACAGAAACCCATCTTACTAAAAATGAACAGCAGTTTCTGTGAAGCAGGATTTGCTTCACAGAAGTACTCTTTCTTGTAAATTTCCCCATAAGGAAACTTTAAACAGCAGCCTCTCTTAGTGCATCCAAAATTATGATTAAATTTTTAAAAAAAGGTTTCCATGGGCCGGCCTGGTGGCGTAGTGGTTAGGTGCACGCGCTCCACTGTGGCGGCCCTAAGGTTCGCAGGTTCGGATCCTGGGCGCGCGCTGATGCACCACTTGTCAAGCCATGCTGTGGCGGCATCCCATATAAAGTAGAGGAAGATGGGTACAGATGTTAGCCCAGGGCCAGTCTTCCTCAGCAAAAACAAGAGGAGGATTGGCATTGGATGTTAGCTCAGGGCTGATCTTCCTCACACACACACACAAAAAAAAAGTTTCCAGATAACATGTTCAGGAACACGCCTGGTGCATAAAGTGGGGGCCACCTGCCTCTCAATGTGCTTTGCCATAACTGACGATCTAGTCTGTGGGAATCGCTGATAGGCTGGGGCAGAGGCTGCTTTTCATCGGCAAGGTGGTCTGGGTGTGCCTTGGGCTAGTATGTAAACTCCTGCTGGTCTGTCTCCCTTTGTGTGGGACTGCAGAATGGCTTCACCCCCTTACACATCGCCTGCAAGAAGAGCCACATCCGGGTCGTGGAGCTGCTGCTGAAGATGGGAGCCGCCATCGACGCGGTCACCGAGGTAGGAGAACTCTGCAGGTGTGCGGATGCTCTCTGCCGTGCTCTTCCTTCCGTAGCCTTCTTTGTAGCTACACATGGCTGCAGGGGTGTGTGTGTGTGTGTGCAAGTCTAAACTGCTTGAAGGAATAAATCAGGGGCGACTAAGACAAGGGAACATGTGTCGAGTCTCTGGGAGCTTTCCAAGATCAGATGCAATTTTTTAAGTTGTAAAAGTGGGCGAATCACCCCGCGGTGTTTTTTTTTCCTCCAGCCCTTTTCCTGGAAGCAAACCCATCTCATTTAACTCCCTTTTCTTGGAAAACCATTCTGGAGCATCTAGAAGCAAGAAAGCATTAGAGACATCTGGCTGTCTCTTCTTTGGAGGAGAGGGAAAGTCTCCTCTCTTCTCATTCCTCTCTTGTCTGTTCTAGTCTGGCCTGACACCTCTCCACGTGGCCTCCTTCATGGGGCACCTGCCCATCGTGAAGAACCTCCTGCAGCGGGGGGCGTCGCCCAATGTCTCCAACGTGGTAAGCCCTGAGAGAGCAAGGTCTCCTTCCTCTGGACCAAGAGCTCAGAGGGCCGCTTTACCTGGGGGTCCCAAGATCTCCTCTCTGGGGATAGAGGTGGAATTCTCAGAATAGCTGTGGACATGGGGAGAACTTCCAGATATACTGATGCTTTCCCAATTAAGCTTGTCACACATCTGTAAGTCTTGGAGGTTTTATTTTGGACGATAATTTGGGAACTTCTGTAAGTTATCTGGGAACACATTTACATTTTTAAACATTCATTAACTCTGGGGTTTACTTTTAAGTATACCTAGAACACACACACACACACTTACACACACACACACACACACACACGCATGCACACTCCAGGTATTGGCAGGCTAAAGGCTAGAGGAGCTGCTCACTGGGGTGACTCCACCTCTTGGCTGAAACCCGCCAAGCTACTCCAGGCTGGCACTTTGGAGTTCTGTGTGCGTCCTTTTGGATATGCAGCCTCTATTAACACTTCTGTAATTTGGTTATTTTACAGAAAGTGGAGACCCCGCTACACATGGCAGCCAGGGCAGGGCACATGGAAGTGGCCAAATATTTGCTCCAGAACAAAGCCAAAGTCAATGCCAAGGCCAAAGTGAGTTCTGGAGGTGGGAAGGGAAGGGTCCTGCGATGTAAGCAATTCAAGTGCAATTAGGAGAAATCCCTCCTGATTAGAGGCCTGGCTGCAGGGCTGGTGGCTCCAAGATCCTTGTCATTCCGATGGCAGTTGCACTAAATGCTCAGATTCTGCTTTGCAGAGGTTTTGAGAAGGCCAGAGATATTTTTTGTATCAGATATTTTGTATATCAGATATTTTGTATGTATATTTGTATTTTGTATTGTTTCTTTAGGATAATGAAAGTCCAAGGAGCATGGCTGGCCTGCAGTGTGTTTATTGGGCTGAAGGGGTTTCATGGTGGTTACAGTCATGGTCTAAGAAGAGAAGCAACTTTTTGAAGAAAGTGTTGCCAGTGAAAATCAGTCAGGAATTTCTTGATCTAAAAACGGGTGATTCCCCCTTGTTGTAAAAGGCATTTTGGGGAGATTGAGTGAGCAAAGAGTAAGAATAGCTGCTGATTTTGCAGATCAATGGGCATTGGCCACAATCAGACTTCCTACCCTCAGGCCACAGAGGCTCCGTTAAGAGTTAGGACTCTGGTTTGTGTTTGGGCCACAAGAGGGAGGCCCCCAACTGGGCCCTATAACACAGGGACCTCACCCAAGGACTGCCTTCAGCATCAGGCGTAAATAGGAAGGGGCAGGCGGGGGGATGAAAAGGTGGTCTTTGGGGCCCGGCCTGGTGGCGCAGCCCCAAAGTTCGCTTGCTCAGCTTCGGTGGCCCAGGTTCACAGGTTCAGATCCCGGGCACGGACCGACGCACCACTTGTCAAGCCGTGCTGTGGTGGCGTCCCTTGTAAAGTAGAGGAAGATGGGCACAGATGTTAGCCCAGGGCCAATCTTTCTCAGCAAAGAGGAGGATTGGCATGGATATTAGCTCAGAGCTGATCTTCCTCACAAAAAAGAAAGAAAAGGTGGTCTTTCCCATCAACAGTTTAGACTCTCCCATGACCCCTGGCATAGAGAAAACCAAGTAGCCTCCAAACAGAAAGACAAGTGTCCACTCAGACGTGACTTGGGAGACAGTGATAGCAACCACGATTTATTGAATGCCTATTTTGCGCCAAACACAGGCACATTTGTGAAAAGTCTGCTTCACAGACGTTTTTTGGTCCTCACCACAGCCCTATCAGGTAGATATTATTCCCATTTCACAGATGGGAAGGCTGAGCCTTTGAGCAACTAAGTAGAAATAACTAATCTGAAGGGTTGTTGTAAGGATTAAATAAGAGAGAACATATTGGTTTCTGTAACTCAGACTTGATTTGAATCTCAGCTTTTCATCTTACTAGCTGTATGACCTTGAGAAGGTCACCTAACCTCTCTGGGCCTCACCTTCCTTCTCTGTAAAATGAAGAGCTGGATTAGGTAACCTTAGTATTCCTGTTCTTTGTTTCCACTTCCGGTTCCAGGATGACCAGACCCCGCTTTACTGTGCAGCTCGCATTGGCCACACAAACATGGTGAAGCTCCTGCTAGACAATAATGCCAGCCCCAACCTGGCCACCACCGCCGGGCACACCCCACTGCACATTGCAGCCCGAGAGGGCCATGTGGAAACAGCCCTGGCCCTTCTGGAAAAGGAAGCATCCCAGGCGTGCATGACTAAGGTACAGCGTTCCTCCTCCCATTCTCCAGAAGCAACAGGCCAGTCACCGCGGGGTCTAGGGCATGGGTGGGGCATTCCCCTTGATGGTGCTGGGAGCAGCAGGGGGGCAGCACTCACAGGACTGGCCACCGTCTGTGAGCCTGTTGTGTCGTCGTCATCCTTGCCAGAAAGGTGGTCAGCTGTAGTTTCTCATCCCCCCACCCAGCCTTCACCTGTTCACCAGGGAATAGTTATCTGCTCAGCACTCACGCTCAACAAGTCGAACAGGTTCTGGGATACAGGAAGGATCGAGACCCCTGCCCTCAACTAGTTAGCAGTCAAATCACAACCCAAGATGGTTTTATGCTCCATCACGAGAGATGGGGGAGGCGAGTGGCAGAGGAAGCCTGCTGATTCCTGAGGTCTTGGCCTCTCCAGGCATCAGAAATCCTGTGCCCTTGATTTGACTGGCATCTCCATGCCTGTTAAGTGGGATGCCTCCTTAGCTACAGACTCTTTCTCCAGGGAGGACAGCCATGGCTCCCCTGGTTCTGATGGCCTGTGTTCCTCCTCAGAAAGGATTTACTCCTCTCCACGTGGCGGCGAAGTACGGGAAGGTTCGGGTGGCAAAGCTGCTGCTGGAACGGGGTGCTCATCCAAACGCTGCTGGAAAAGTGAGTGAACCCCCTCCCTCTCTCGGGTTAGAGAACAGAACAAAGGATAAACGTTCCTGCTCGTGAATGGCCTCGCTTGCCTAAGCCCGTCTGTCCCCCTTTTGAGTGGGCAGCCGTCTACAGAGAATGGCCTTTGGGATACGGGTCTTGCTGACAAAGGCCTTGTCCTTACAGAAAGACCTGGTGGCCTCTGAATGAGTGTGCTGATTGTGCTGCCCACTGAGGCACCCCCGGAAATGAGGAGGTGGCCTGGGTCTGGCTGTTTATGCTCTTGAGTGACTTCAGATTGAGATTGGCTTTGGAATAATTTTTAATCAGATTTTACCATATAAAAGGTACAGATTCCAAAATGGTAGCTAAAGGAAGTCAGTTGCATGAAGGCTGTTTGTCCGTCTCACCCTGCAGAACGGCTTGACTCCGCTGCACGTGGCCGTCTATCACAACCACCCGGACATTGTCAAGCTGCTGCTTCGCCAGGGCGGTTCCCCGCACAGCTGCGCTTGGGTAAGCCCGCCCTGGTCCACACCTGGAGCTCAGACCCTCTCACAGCCTGGGCCCTGGGTAGCAGGCCGCCTGCCACTCCTGCCCAGAGGGCTGTTTCAGACGCAGCCCAAGGCTTTTTGTGTTTTGTTTTTATTTTTATCTCAGAAATCTCACCTCACTTTCACACATTACCTGCAGTATAATTGCTGCTGTTTGGGGACCAGAGCTGGGTAGGAAGTGGGTAACACTCGTAGCAACGGGTGACCTCACAGACATGGAATTCGTCTTACACAACAAATGTGTTCCCCAAACGGCTGTGTGTCAGCTAAGTTTTGTAAGCTGGCTGTTAGAGGTGAGCACGTTCAGGATCCTCCTGGAGAGGTGAGCCTTGTTGTCTGTTCCGATGCTGGTGGCACAGTGGCCACATTTGAGAAATACTCATGGCTGCAGGTGAACTTGCCTGAACTTTGAAGCAAGGAACCTATTTTGAGTGTGAATAATCACCCCCAATCTGTTTCTCGTATGAGTTCAGACTTGCAGGTGGCGGTGCTGTTTAACAAGGCCCACCCAGGTACAGTCCCCGGGGACAGCTGACCAGTGGACCGGCCTCACGCCAGCCTCTGAAATGCGCTGCTCCAAGCAGCAGGTTCACTGCCCCCAAGGGAACCCGAGGAAAGGGAGCAGGCAGGACTTGCTTCTGTAAGACCAGAGGAGGGGAGGGTCATGCAAGTGTAGGGATAAGGCCAGATGTGAGCATCATTTCTGGGGACAGGCTGCCCCCTGTGGGACATGAGGGTGTGCAGTGTTTGTCTGTGAGGGGAGGGGCGCGCAGAGGAGGAGGGGTGAGGAGGGGAGCAGGGCTCCAATACAAAGGATGCACGCTGTCCCTGCACCCAGAGCTCACCGTCTAATAGGGCAGCCAAGCCTCAGGAGAAGCAGGGTAATTTATGGGAGAGCAGCCCCCGTGCTCAGCCATGCGGCAGCAGTCTGAGGGAGCCATGGGGGTGGGGGTGGGGGGTTGCTGTGTGATGCCGGCTGACACCTGCCAACTTTAGGACGGTGGCAGCCGAGTCAGGGAAGATCATTGCAGGTCTCCAGTTTGTCTTCCCTCCTCAGAATGGATGCTCATCTGAATTTTACAGCATCACTTTCCTGCAGACACAGCGTCTCCCAGACACCCAGGGTCTCCTTGGGCTCCTGTCAATGTGGCTGTTGTAGCAAGCCCACGTCACCGTGTAGACGGAGCCAGGCAGGCGGCCCTGCTAAGATGTGCCTTACTCCTGCCTCTAAAAATAAAAAGCTGGACTCCCTTCCTCCCCACTCCCCTCCTTATATAAAAGAAATCGGTGCCAGGTTCATGGTATTTAAAGAGAGCTTTATCCAAGCACAAACCCTGTACAGATGGGTTTTGTTTCCATGGCAAAAAATAGTTTCCCAAGTAGTCTGGCAATTTTGTAGAATTTCACATGCAAATCTCTCTGCACCCAAACCAAACCCTCCCCTTCCCAATTGTGATGCTAATGTTGTTTTAACATGTAGGCAGATCTCTCTTCAGCGTGCATTCCTTTGGGTGAGCTCATTTCCTTGGGAAAGAAGAGCCTTTTACTGGCACACATCCCTCCCTAGCCTCTTTCCGACTCTCCTGCCTAGTTGCCTCTTGTCCTTGTCACCTACAGACTGTCCCACTTGTTCCCTTTAGTCCTGGTTTTGGGGAAGCTCAGAGGAGTGGTCCCTATTCTGAGACCAACAGTTGCTCTGTGTCTCGGTTTTAACCGGGGGTCACCTGGCAGCCTTGAGCTGCCTCCAGGATAAGCTCGCCCTTTGCCCGGACAGGGTGCTGTTCTTGCTAGCGTGGACATCCACAGCTACCCAGGTGGCCTGGCAATCCTGATGGTTCTTCTGTGAATATACTTGAAGTTGCTCAAGTTACTGTCCTTTGTACATTAAGAGAAGTTCAAATAATCGTTGGTTTCATTCAGTGAAGGCCTGCTGTGGGCCAGGCGCTGGCTGGGTGTTCAGCTGCTTCACTCCATTTCCTCCTGAGCAGCCCTGGGAGGTGGACGTTCTCCACCTCATCTGAGAGAGAAAGGTCTCCATTTGGGAATAATTCCAAATCTCTGGCTCGTCCACTGAACACACTTCTTTGCTCCCTTTTGACACGGTACAAAAATCATATGGTTTAATTAATTTTATTATAATCAAAATGCCGTTCTTGTTATATGAATACAACCTACAAAGAAGAATTTAATGTTGTCTCATAACATAAGCAAATTAAAGAAGGAGCACTCAAATGGATTATCTCGCATAATTATTCAAAGAGAATGTTTTTTTGTTCAATTTAATTCCTTGCGTAAATTACAACTTTTCATTTCCCCATAAAAGCCGCTTCACAGATGGATCTTTTCCTGTCCCCCGTGCTGTAAAGCTGGGATTTTACTATATTGGTCAGCCCCTCTTCTTCTCTTTCCTTTTCCTGATCAGTGAACCTGGCAGAATCAGAAATGTTCGTTTCCACAGTAAGATAGTGGCTGTCGGGGGAGATTCTGTTTTCTGGGACAGCCAGAAGAATGCTAGCCAAGGTGGGGAAACTATGTCCCTTATGCCGTCTGCCCTGGGACTGGGTGGGCATATGCTCAGAAAGTCCTGGGTCCTGCATCCCCCTTAGCCCTGAATGCTTCGGGGCCTTGCTACTCAAAGTGTGGTCCCTGGACCAGCAGCATCAGCATTACCTGGGAGCTTGTTAGAAATGCAGAATCTTGTGCCTTCCTAGACCTTCTGAGTCAGAATCTGCATTTTGACATGATCCCAGGTGATTTTATACACACTGAGGTTTGAGGAGCACTGCTCCAGCTGAAAGAATCTGGGATCTGGAGTCAGAAGGCCAGGCTTGTGTTATCTGTTGTTCCACTTACTATGTGACATTAAATAAGGCACTTCGCCTCTCAGAGAACTGGCTTCCTTATGCACAAAGTGGAGTGATAATAAAAATGCCTGTACGTGGTTGTGGTGAAGCTCAAAAGTGATAACATGGGTGAAAGTGGGTGTAATAGTAATGACCAGAGTAGACTGTCACCTGTCTGCAGCGGATAAGGAGCTTGCTCCAGAATGTAGACTATGCACTGCTTCCTTCATTGAGAAAGTCTTCCTACCGAAAAAAAAGAAAAAAGAAAAGCCAGCTGAATAACAGAGCACAGTGATGTGGTTGATTTACTTTGGGGCCAAGCTCCTTCATCTCGTGGACTTAAAACATCTTGTGAATGAGCTCACTGCAAAAGCACACAAAGGTTTATTACTTTCATGTCTTAATTTTGGAAAGTACCTTCAATTAGATTATCATATTTGATCCATTCACCAACTATAAGAACAAGATAGATGTTATTATCCACTTTTAATGGCTTAAAAAAATACAAAAGGCAGTCTAGAGGTCGTTGCATATCTTGCCCCCGTCACATGGCTAGTTACAGTGGAAGGAGGGCTGATTCCATGTCACCAAGTCCTTTCCCTGGTGTGCGTCCTCTTACACCCCCTGCCGGAAGCTGGCAGGTCCGGGGGAGCACTTGGCCCAGGTGCACAGGGAGAGAAGGGCTCTCTTCCTTTTCCTTTATGAAATGTTTGGGGGGTTTGGTTCTTCGTGCAGGAAGGAGGAAGCGGACACTTTTCCCTTGCTGACTTACCTAACCTCCTGGTTGCCCCAGAGCCCACCTAGTTGAATCCTAGCCCCTGTGAGTGACAGAGCACTTCCTGCACAGCAGTTTGTCAGAGTGTGATACAGACAATAGATGGTGAGAAAAGGAACCGGGCATTTGCTGGCTGTGGGGCCTCTCCAAAGCAAATGGACTTGGTTGGTTGGTTTGTTTACTTAACTCGCCCTCCTGGGTGACAGCAGCCCTGCCCAGTAGGTGCCCAGCAGGCCAAGAACCAGGCCAGCCCTCCCTCAGAGGATTTAAAAGGTAAGGCGTGTGCTCCTATCGCTGACTCAGCATTCCTGTAACGAGGCTCCGGGTGGCTGCTTCTGTTTCAGAATGGCTACACCCCTCTGCACATCGCTGCCAAGCAGAACCAGATGGAGGTGGCCCGCAGTCTGCTGCAGTATGGGGGGTCAGCAAATGCAGAGTCGGGGCAAGGCGTGACGCCCCTCCACCTGGCTGCCCAAGAGGGTCATGCAGAGATGGTGGCTCTGCTACTCTCCAGACAAGCCAATGGCAACTTGGGGAACAAGGTAAACGTGGCACCTTCAGATCTGCCCTGTTGTCTCAGGAATGTTTTAGTGTCAGCTAACGGGGTATTGTATCTGAATGTTGAGTACCCACTATATGCCCAGGTTCTGAATTAGGGGTATATGTGTGTGTGTGTAATCCTTAAACCGCCCTGTGTAGGTTTTATCTCAGCTTTATAAAGGAATAAACAGATTCAGAAAGGTTGCTTATTCCCAAGGTGGCACGACCCTGAGCCTGTCTGATGCCAAAGCCTTTGCTGATTCTTTCTAAATAGATTGACTCAGGAATCTGCAAAAAGATCAATAGCAAAATCCATGGTACACTTGCCCAAATATAGGCCAGTGGCTACATTCAGGACTGTATTAAATAAGTGGGTACTCAATGTTCTTTTTCTGTGGGGAAGATATTTTTTGAAATGCCCACCCTAAACTGGGAGTCCTCAATCCAGCAACTATTGGCATATGAGCATGAAACCTTCAAAGATTCTACACAACATTTTGGGAGGATGGACATATGAGCATTTTTCTGGGTGTCTTCATAGTTTTCATCAGCTTCTTAAAGGAATGCATGACCCAAGAAAGACTTAGAATTACTTCTTTTTTTAAACAACAATTTTATTGAAATATAATTCATAAACCATAAAATTCACTCTTTTGAACTGTACTATTCAGTGGTTTTTGGTATATTTGCAGAATTGGGCAACCATCACTACTAATTCCAGAACATTTTCATCACCCCAAAAGGACACCTCATACCTATTAGCAGCTGCTTCCCCTTTTCCCCAAACCCCCAGTCCCTGGCAACCACTAATCTCCTTTCTGTCACTGTGAATTCACCTATTCTAGACACTTCGTATAAATGGAATCACACAATATGAAGAGCCACTTCTTTAGATGATAAATGAACACAATACAGTTTCAGGAAGGCAAGTGTTTTAAGGGTAACTTAAGGTTTCTTAAAAACCTGTAGATCCATTGGCTCTTTTTGTATAGGTTTGGACAGGTGACCCCCAGGAGGGAACTGTTATGGTAGGACCATTATTTTGGATGGGATTCTTGGTTTCTTCCTTGTGCCATTTCAAGTGGGTTCTGTAAAGAGCCATCAGGATGACGGCGAGTCTCCTCACTCAGGCACATGCCACCCTCACAAGGCAGATCACTCTGTTATCCCAAGAATCAGGCAAGACACCCAGAGGTTTGTGACTGATGTGGGGACTGCTCAGTTGTGGCCTGTTCTCGCTTCAGGCAGCCCCACCCGTCTGTGTCTTTGGGAGATGGCCTGCTTCAGCTGGGGAGGGGTACTGTGAAGTTCCTGGGGAGGGGACAGGCCCTGCCCACTGCCTCTGACTGCAGAGGAATTGCAGCTCTATTTGTCCCACAGTTAGTAGAGTGTATTGAGGTAGGGTACAGGGGAGAGAAGATTTTTTCTGACATTTTGTATGAGTGTGCACATATCAAACAAGATCTCTGGGGCATTCCTTCCTCATGAGAAAGCTGTGATGAGAGCTCCAAGAACATGGTGTTTTCAGTCCCAGCAGGATCCTCCATCCTTTTTACAGTGCAGCACTGGCTGTGACGTGCTAATCACATGCTACAGTTAAATGGCACCTTGTGCTTTTCAACATGTTTTTATCTGTGTTTTCTCAAGTGACCCTTACTTTGGCCTTGAGATTGGTCAGCGATAATCCCTATTTTCTAGATAAGGAAACCAAGACTCTGAAGCTCATCTCGAATCATGAAAATAGGGAATGTTACAATTGGAAAGTATCATCAAGTTCATCTAGTTCAGAGGTCAGCCAACTATGGCCCATGCGCCAAATCTGGCCCACCACTTGTTTGCGTAAATAAAGTTTTATTGGAACACAGCTATGCCCATTTGCTTATGTGTTGGCCATAACTGCTTTCTCACTATAGCTGGCAGAGTTGAGTAGTTACATCAGAGACACAAGCCTAAAATATTGACGATCTAGCCCTTAGCAGAAAAAGTTGCTGAGCTCTGATTTAGTTGAACCACCTCATTTTTTGGATAAGTGTATGGAGGCCCAGAGCTGGAATAACTTTGCCCACATAGTGAGTTGATGGCTGCAGAGCGAGGTTCGGCTCCCAAACCTTGGTGCTCTTTCATTGTGTTCTGGAATTCTTTAGTGGCTACAAGGTGATGAACCTCTTTTTCTTTCCAGGGTGGACTCACTCCTCTCCATCTAGTAGCACAAGAAGGTCACGTTCCAGTGGCAGATGTGCTGATCAAACACGGTGTCACAGTGGACGCCACCACGCGGGTAAGGCAGGCAGCCCGAGCTTTGGTCCGCGTGGGCTTCCCCACCCTTCCCCCTGCATGCGCCATAGTCCTGCCCAGTGCCTGCCTCTCTCTCTCTTCAGAGTTGGCTCATCTGCGGAGCTTTGAAACCCCAAGGACCCAGCAGAACGTTCTTCTCTCCCATCTCCTAGGGTGGCATTGGAGTTTGAAGATACCAATCCTAATTATCTCACTTTCCAGTATGGAATTTTGAAAAGTTTGCCAGACCTTTGAGCCTCTATAGCGAGAAACTAAGAGGAATTATTAATCATGCTTCTGAGACCTATCTTATATGAGCAGTATGTCAAAATGTCAGGCTTCCCTGGATTCACTCAAAAATTCAGCCCCTTTTATTCTAGCCTGTAGTTAAATTCAGTTCAACTTTCTCTGAGCTTCTTCTGTGTGCAAGGAGCTCTGAGAGGTAGTTGAGGATAACCGAGTGCACAGCGCACACAGTGGGATCTCATCTGCACTTCAGTGCGGAGGTGACGGTGAGAGGCTGGAAGGGACAGTGTAATGTGATATCTGGTGTAAGAGAGGCGCTAGTGAACCCCGAGGAGCACAAAGGGAGGAGAGAGTGTTCCCATTGGGTGGAAGAAGGAGGCTCCATGGAGGAAGTGGCGTTTCATTCCTGTTCATCGCAAGGCAACTGTATTAAAAGGAAGGGACAAAGTGACATCCCCTCCAGCCCCACTCCCTCCAGAATCCCACAGGAACACCAGTCAACAATGTGATGTCGAACTCTCCCTGAGAAAAATCTACAAACTGTATTTAATCCCCAACTGTCTGCAGCTTCAACAAGAATCTGCTTAAAATCCAAGAATGTTCTGGATCTTTGAGGCTTCTCTTGTGGGCCTAGTTTAGTCTTTTGGGGTCCTGCCCTGAGAGACCCTGTACTGTGGGTTAGACCTTGGGGGGGGTCCCCAAACCATCCCATTATTTGAGGTCCAGTCTGCAGGGTCTGTGTCAAGATGGTCTCAGGAATCGGGCGTCAGCTCCCCAGGGACATGTGGGACCCGAGAGCTCAGAGAGCCTTGGCTTGTCAGCCTTTGGAGGGAGCACCAAAATATTCAGCAGAACAGACTTCCTGAGAATTAGCTCCTTTGCAGCCAAAACTCAAATGAATAACTACCCAGGGCCGGCCCCGTGGCTTAGTGGTTAAGTGCGTGTGCTCCGCTGCTGGCGGCCCGGGTTCGGATCCTGGGCGCGCACCGACGCACCACTTCTCTGGCCATGCTGAGGCCACGTCCCACATACAGCAACTAGAAGGATGTGCAACTATGACATACAACTATCTACTGGGGCTTTGGGGGAAAAAATAAATAAATAAACAAATTAAAAAAAAAATGAATAACTACCCAAAGCCCACTCATTTCAGGCAATGACCAGTTCCTATAAATCCCCTTACATTATAATTCAGTAACCAGGACAGCCTTTTTTGGGGTTTTACGATGGGGTTTCACCTTCTAGTGGAAGTCAGTCTGCTCTTGTCCGGGTTGGCAGGGATCTCCATGCCTCCGTCTGTCCTCGTCTGACCCCGTTCCCAGCAGAGGGCCTGCTGGCTGCTCCCTCCTTGGAATAACCTCTCTTGGCTTCTGTAACACAGGTCTCTCCTGGTTTTCCTCCTGCCTCTTCACTGCTCCTGCACAGTCCTCTTTTCTGACTTTCCCTCTAAGTATTGCCTTGGTACATGGGCCCCACTTTTTTCTCTCTACACTTATCCTAGGTGACCTCACTCGTCTCCAGGCTTTACACTCTCCATCGGCGTGTCCTCGCCTAGACCTTTTCACGGGGCTCAGGGTCAGCTCTCCAATCGCCTACTTGACATCTCCACTTGGACCTCTTCTAGGCATCTCAAACTTCACTTGTCTGACGCGGAGCCCTGTTCCTTCCCAGGCCAATGGCATCCAGCTGCCAGTGCCACCGAGCTTACACCTTTTAGCAGCTGTCAGCCTTCCAAAGGGCTTCCCCATCCATTCTCTCTTTTAATCAGCTGTTGTAAGGGTTCTTGTCCTTACAATTGTTGTAAGCTATTGTAATCAGTTGTAAGGATTCCATTAATGCCCAGCTCGTAGTGGCTCTTGGTATGCCCAGAAGCCCTGCTGGTCACCCATTTTCATCTCTTGCTTTTCAGATGGGTTACACTCCACTCCATGTGGCCTGTCATTACGGAAATATCAAGCTGGTGAAGTTTCTGCTACAGCACCAGGCAGACGTCAACGCCAAGACCAAGGTACAGGGACACCCGAGACCTGACTCTACACTATCACTTCTTAGGTGCCAAATTAGGGTGCAGCCAAGGTTACTCTGGGCACACTTGGGGCTCTGCCACAATATTAAGCTTTGGCCCTGGAGGAAGAAATGCGGGAAACGCCTTTTTTATGTTGCACCTAGAAGACTGACAGGCTCTGTAGTATGTGAGCAGTCCTTCCTCTCCGAGCTGGCTCATCCTGCCAAAATGTCTACCTCGCTTTACAGCTAGGATACAGCCCATTGCACCAGGCGGCCCAACAAGGACATACAGACATTGTGACACTGCTTCTCAAAAACGGTGCTTCCCCAAACGAGGTCAGCTCGGTGAGTACCCACCATTTCCTAATTTCGGAAAACTGCTCTTGTGGCAGCCCTGGGAGCCGTCCCTGAACCACAGAGTCTCCATCTGTCCTTACCGCATGTCTGGGGCTGGACGGGCTGCAGGGCTGTAAGGTCGCAGCTGCCTCGGGACCACAGGCCATGGGGTGTCGTGACTAGTTTCTCTTTCTGTTGAGCTGAAGGTTATCCTTTTAAGCACCATTTACCCTCCCTCATTTATTTTTGTTTAAATATTATTGAAACCCTTTCTAAAATTTGTGAAGCTGCTTTCAGTATGCACAAATGAGCAAACCACATGTCTTGGGGGTTCATGATGTTCCAGGGCCTCAGGGGTGTCTTTAGCAACATCAGCACTCATTGTTGAGTGAACTCACTCATCTGACAACATGCAAGTTTTGTTAGATTATCTCCGTGGCTGCCGCCAGCTCGGACAGTGTGTGGACCTTTGTAGATGTGGTTGCTGACATTAACTATGGATGGAGCTGAATCTATGTGGGGCCTGGGGCACATCCTGGAACTAAAGAACTTAAAAGAAAAATAAAGCCTCATTATCAGTTTATTTTCACTTAACTCTTTCTCTTAAAATCAGAGTAAAATATATGTCTCCCCTATTTCTGGTGATTTGTGATTTGTGATTGGCCTGAAAAGAGTTAATTGAAGTATATGGATTATTTGAACTGTATTAACGCTCAGTTACTGACACCCAAAGAACTGGCATTGGGAGCAGTGAGCAGTGTTGCCCTGTACCCTCATATTCCTAAAATTGCATGTGGTGCCTTCCTGACCCATTCCTTCACAGGTAGTTCCCTCGTGGCAGTTCTTGACTTGTCCTGGCAAGATTCCTCCTGCTCTCATTTCAAGGCTCCCACACTCGGTGCTACAGACTAAGAGCATCGCTGCCCTCCACTCTGCCCTCCCCTGTCTGTGGGCACTGTCTTGCTCTGGGCTCCAAGGTGCTTCTGTCCACTTAGGCCCTTCTGAACAAATAGAATGTGAGCTTGGTCTATGGAAAGGGGGCGCGGTCTCCTCCTGGACTCCGTTCCCTGGTCTGATCTCACCCTCTCTCTATTTTTCCCAGGATGGAACCACACCCCTGGCAATAGCCAAGCGCTTGGGCTACATTTCTGTAACAGATGTGCTCAAGGTTGTCACGGATGAAACTGGTGTGGTGGTATGTCTGCTTCACTCCCCACCCCAAGCACACACAGCCTGACAGACAGGACGGCCCTGTGGGTTACTCTCGAAAGTGGAGCATATTCTGGCGTTCTAGACACTTAGGGCAGGAAGCTGGTCCCCAAAAGAAGGCGGGGGAGGGGTTCTCCTCCAGCAGGTGGAGTTGTACTGCCATCTAGTGGCCAGAGCAGTTGGGGCTGTGACCAGACCTAAGGGGGCAGCAGCAAGATGGCGTTGGGGTAAGAGAGAGGCAATGGGAAGCTGGCATCTCCTGTTTATCCCCCACGGTTCCTGTGAGACATCAGCTTCTGGGCGGGCGGAGAACCTCTCAGCTTTGATTTTCTTCATTTAGGGCAAACCTCCTTTCCCACCTCCTGCCTCCACGGTCATGACCATGTAACTGCGGGATCGGTGAAAGGGCCCCCTGCTCTATTTGAGTTGAATTCTCTGCTTTTTCTCCTTTTAGTTAGTCAGTGACAAGCACCAGATGAGTTTCCCTGAGACAGTAGATGAGATCCTGGATGTGTCTGAAGATGAAGGTAAGGTCTGGGATTAACGGAATGTCAGGGTGAAGTCAGGCTGTGGGGACCCCTGGGCTCTGAGCACACGCTGTGCTTCTCCAGCTGCCAGGCGGCACCCCAGGGTCCTCACAGCACACCCGAGTCCTGAGGGTGTGTATGGAGCCTGGGAGAACGGCTTTGTAAAGATGATGTCTGTTATCAAAAGTACTCCTTTAATGTAATGTTAGGAAAAGGAAATCTGCATCTCAGAGATTAAAATATAAAATCCCATGAAGTTTCATAATTATATATGCATTTGCATGTGTTATACGTGGAGTGTGATTCTGCTCAGATCAACTCTCAGAGCTGTGAGGAACTGTAATCAAATTCCACCTGGGGCTTTCTTGGGGCTTTGAACAAATGACAAACTGTTTATTTAAAATCTCTAAGAATTCCTTTTAATAATTTGCTGCTCTTCTGACACAATGAGTCAGTAAGTTTTAGGACGTATCCATTATTATGAAATAACTGTTGTTTCAACTTCTATGAACCACAAAAGTGCTTGTGGTATTTTTCCTTCTCCAAATAAGCCCACTACCTCACTTAAGTTTGAAGGGAACTTCATGATGTAAAAGGGTGGGGTTGGACTGGATTATCTCTGCGGCCCCTCCCATCTCAGTAATTCGGTGGTTTTATAGCTTTGTCACCTAGGTGATTAAAGCTCTCCTGTGTCCCCTTTGATAATATGCCTGTCGCTTTAACTGACCTAATCATGTCCTTCCTTAAACTTGACTCTTCTTTGCTTTCCAGGAACTGCTCATATAACTATAATGGGTATGAAACACTTTCTGTTCCCTGTGGTCCTTTCTCATGAGTGCATTTCGCCCTGACCAGTCCAAGCTCTCACTAATCCATTCCTGCTTTCCACCCTCCTCTGATGGCTAGCAGTCTGGAGCCGGGAGCTTGCCTAAAACAGGAACTTTACACGCTTAAGACCCACGCCCTGGCGGGTAGTGCCTGCCTGTCCATATCTGTGTTTGTGCCCATGCCACTGTGTTTGTGAACATAACTGCATGAGCTGTTGTTACTCCATTCTGTCAGCTCCAGATCACAAAGCCAGGACACTCACTGCTGAGTGACAGTGAATGACACTGCAAGGTCGAGGGCTCCAACTCCAGTCCAAGCGAGGAGAGAGAAACAAAGAGGCAGAATGGGTTGCAGACACAGTTCGAACCTCTTTGTAGTGGGCTTAGGAAATAATGAGGTTTCAGCTGCCATGGTTACAAAAAATCCTACAGCCCTTCAGAACGAATGGGTTCAGTTCCATTGTAGTTTATTCTTCTGTAGTGTGTGGTACAGAAAGAACAGAAACGGCCCTTTCTTTGGTGTCATTGCACACCTTGCAAGGGCTGTTTTGAAGAGGAACTTGTCAAGCTAAGAAAGTTCTTTCTGGTTGTATTTTTTTCTTCTACAAAGCCTGGTACAGACTAGGATGTTAGGAGCTGGCTGCCCTGCTCTAGGTACCGGGGCTGGAGGAACAGCACTGGTGGAAGACATTGCTAATGATCCCCTTCGGGCATCAGAGACCTTCCTCCACTCCTCGGGAGCCAGCGTTGAGGGAGGAGCAGGAAGAGCACTTTTTGGAAAGAAAGAGGAAATCTCCATCCTGTCACTCACTCAAACTCGTGCCGTTTCAGGAGAACTTGTAGGCTCCAAGGCTGAGAGGCAGGATTCCAGGGACATAGAGGAAGACAAGGAGCTGCTGGATTTTGTGCCGAAGCTGGACCAAGTGTAAGCACTGCTCCCACCGTGGATGGCCCAGGTCCCAGCCTGGAGCTCAGAGTGGAAGGATTCCAGAGCAGGGAAAGTCACAAGAGGGCCAGGCCTGGGTGTGCCACTGACAAGGGTAGAGTGCGAGAGTCCAGCACCTGAAGATAAGCCAGCTCTGCACCTCACAGCATGCCGTCTGGTCGTGTCTCCCCTCCTCTTCTGAATCCCTGCCCCCAACTTTCCTCCTCCCCTGGCCACAGTCTCATGTTCACACCCCCTCTCCCTCTCCTGCACTCTCAGCTTCTCACCAGAAAAATCCATGGAGGAAGATTCACATTAGAAGCTGTTGCGGAGCTAAGCTCCAACACTGACCCCATCCGTCTGCCGGCATGGTATACATTTCCCATTGCTCCCCATGGCGCTGTGAGTTATTCCGCTGGGGTTACGCTGGCACAGAGGGATATTTTGCGAATAAATCTAAAAGCAACAACTTTGTAGAAACCCTGAGCCTTGGGTGTTTTCTGAAAAGACAGACGTGTGCCAGCTTAGCCCCAGGGCTTATACAAAACAGGGCAGTAGAACAAGCAGGAAGTGAAACTACAAGACTATTTAATCAACTAGTATTTACCAAACATCAGTTAGACAGAAATACAGGACTGGGACCCTGACCATGAAGAACCTACAGATTTATTTGGCTGGATCAAAACACACACCAAGAGGTCGTATAGCAATGTGGAAGAAGATGTTAAGGCCAGAGTGAGAGTTCCATCAACAAGGGCTCTAGGTTGCAGATCCAGGGTGGTGAGTGCAGGGAAGACTTCCTGGAGGAGACAGTCCTTCCACTAGGTCATGAAGGGCAGTTGGCCTCTGGGGAAGGCTTTGAGGCGAAGGGAAGAGGCTGGTCATTGTGTGGAGGCTGAGTTGTATTGCATGTGTCAGTGGGGGTTCAGGCTACAGTGAGGAGGGTGGATTGGATACAGAGGTGATTCACCTAGGCCTCCCATGGAAGATAGGGGCTACTTAGAAGGGTCATCCCTTTGATTCCCCGATGTTCTTGGTGAACAGGGTGGAATCTCCAGCTATCCCGAGGATTCCTTGTGTCACACCTGAGACAGTGCTGATCAGATCTGAAGAGCCAGAACAGGTGAGAAACATCATTTCTCTTATTTTCCCATTCGCAGAAAGTGAGTACCCCTGGACAATGATCGTTTTGAGATGACCTGCGATACGATAGGAACTAATAGTGGAAAAGCTTGCAGCGTTTACCAGGCCCTTCAGATCCGTGGTTCCACGTGTTCTTTGTAGCCCGTGTGCTGCCGGTGTCCTTGTTATCCCAGACGTTGATGACATGAGTCTCAGAGCCCAAGGGCGTGTGAGACATCATTACGCCAGTCCGGTCATGAGTGAGGCTGGGAACTGACGCCAGAAGTTCTGGCTCCAAAGCCCATGTTCTCAGGGCCACAACACTGAGCACAGGCTCTCTGCACCCACGGGGGCCGCGGGTGGAGAGGGAGTCCAAGGCGGGCACCAGCTGCAGCTGTGCCTACCGTGAAGCTGCCGGCAAGTCACAGAGCTCTGCGCTCCTTTTCTTTCATATCTATACAAGAGGGATGGTTTCTGCCCCACCTTCAAAGGATTATTGGGAGCTTAAAATACCAATGCAGGTAGAATGGGGATGTCAGAGAGAGCTGTTCCCAGGGTGGGCTTCAATCATGATACTTCCCTATTTTGTGGCTTCCTTGGATGTCATCTGAATTTGTCCAAAAAAAGAGTGGGATGGTTTAATACCATTTAATTCTCCTGAGTTTAATTTTGTGCCATTCAGCACTTTTTTCCAGGGCAAGGGGGTTTTCTAGGATAAAAAAGAAAGCAGTGTGGTGTTTGGGGGTTGGAAATGACTGCCCTGGGCCTGATAACTGAACCAGGCGTATCTGTTTTCCAGCTGTGGCTGGTCTCTTCCTCTGCCACTGAAGGGGCTTGTGTCTGAAAGCAGCAGCTGTAGCCCTGCACCCAAAAGTGGCCTGTGGGGATAAGCTGGCTATGAAGCTGTCCAATCAGCCATTCCATGCTAGGGTATATCATAGTGATGTTGGTGTCACTTGTTGGGTGGCATTTGGGAGATATGGTCAGTTGTGGCCCTGGTACTGCTGTGGCATATCCCCTGGATGCTGCCAAAGACAACGATGAGAAAGCAACTGGGTAGGCCTGTGTCCTGTGGTTCCTTGACCAACCCATCCTCTTCGACTCCTTGCTTAAGTCATGAACTCAAGTCAGCAGGTATTTACTGGATTCCTACAATGTACCTGTCTAGGGCTCGGTGTAGGACTGTGAGACCTCTCCCTGCTTCCGAGGAGCTGACGGTCCAGCTGGGAAGGGTGGGTGCAGATACGTGAAACCAGTTAGCACAGGATGCAGGAAGGGTAAATATAGGAGTGCTCAACTGTGCCGTATGAGTTCTTCCAGATTAGAGTCTATGGGAAAGAGACGAGGAAGAGGCGAGATGTGGAAAACGAATAGGATTAGACTGGCGAAGGAGAGGGATGGGGCATCTGGACCAGTGGGACAGCATGAGCGAGAGCAGAGTTGAGAATAAACCTGGAGGGGGCTGGGGCCAGATTCAGACCCTGCTGGCTCTCACGAGTCCTTGTGACTACTGGTCTTGTGTAAGACAGCCCCACATCCCTGTAGTTGCGACGATGCTGCAAGGTGGCACCCGTCCCATTTGCAGATGAGGAAACAGGAAGCCCCCAAGGGCAAGGGTCTGTTTTATTCACCTCGTGTTCCTCAGATGCCTACAGGACAAGTAGCTTGCCCAGAGCTGCTAGGTAGTAGCTGATGTGCAGGGGTCCAGTGCCAACTCTAGTGAGAAAACCCAGCTTCTTGGAGCAGAGGTTTGCTGTTGGGGCGGAGGTAGAGCACAGCTGGGAGGGTCAGCAGTGTGCGCAGTGGGTGTGAGACTAGAGGCCATCAGTTCCAAAGCCCTATCCCAGCGACTTGGACCAAGGAGAGGCCATGATGGCAAGAAGCCCATGCTTCCTTTTAGACTCCAGGAATGCTTGTCCTGAAAGGGGCAGTGGTGAGTGCGCGGGAGCACTTCCTCCATTGGGCCACTCAGTTTCTGGCAACAAGATGCTCCCGGGCCTCCCCAGCCTGGCACAGCTTCAGCTGGCCCGAGACCAGCACCTGTGGCCCAGGAGTGACTGGCCCGTTGGCCCCTGTCTCCTCCTCAGGAATCTAAGGAGTATGATGAAGACTCACTCATCCCCAGCAGCCCAGCCACAGAGACCTCAGACAACATTAGCCCGGTGGCCAGCCCTGTCCACACAGGGTGAGTGACCCCCATGACAGGGGCCTGTGGATTTTGGGCCCCCACTCTCCCCATCTCAGAGAGAGCACATAGAAGCCCAACGTGGATCTGCCTGTGCCCCCAGGTTTCTGGTGAGCTTCATGGTGGACGCCCGGGGAGGCTCCATGAGGGGCAGTCGTCACAACGGCCTGAGGGTGGTGATCCCGCCTCGGACGTGCGCAGCACCCACTCGCATCACCTGCCGCCTGGTCAAGCGCCAGAAGCTGAGCTCGCCGCCCCCGTTGGCCGAGGAGGAGGGCCTGGCCAGCAGGATCATTGCACTGGGGCCCACAGGGGTCCAGTTCTTGAGGTGAGAGGTCACTCTCGCTGGGCGTGCGTGTGCAACATGTGTCTCTGGCCTGTCCCTGCCCTGCTCCTCTGTCACTGCAGCCCCAGCAGCAACGACCCAGAACCACCCCAGCCTCAGGGCAGAGGGAGAGGTGAGCCCTGAAGCCCCACGCCATCTTATTTCTCTCCTGTCGTGACGGGAACAGAACCTGGAGCTTTTATTCCCCTTTTACCACCTTTTCCTGGCTCCACAGAGGAGACCACAGCCCAAGTGGAGCTTAATGCTCTCAAATCTCGTGTGACACTAGAGAAGGGACGAGAAGACCCCCAAGGGTTTAATTATTTAAGCTCTAAAACGGTCTTGTTAGAAGTCAGCCCTACAGCATTGCCCCAAGGACAAGGTTCCTGGGCCTCAGAGGCCTGTTCCTCCCCTTTCTGAAGCAGACCCGGGTCTCCTCCGTGGAGCTCTGTTGTCCTTCAGGCCCCACGGGCTGTAATCTCGTGACAGGAGGCCCTGCCTTCCTGTCTCTGTCCACAGCCTGTTCCCCTCTCCGTGCTGTCGTCCACCATTTGTAAAGCAGCTTGCAGATGCTTCCAGGTCGATTTTCTCCTTTAAATGCAGTCCTCGAAGCCGCTCTCTGAAGGAGATGTTAGTGTGGCTGATTGGTAGAGGAGGAAACTGAGGCTCAGAGAGCTTCCGTCCCCTGTCTGGGGATGTCAGGCGGGTTCTCAGGATCGGGTCCAAGGGCAGGATTATCCGCCTGAGCCTGGGCGCATCATGTGGCCATGGCAAGACAGCCCCTGTGAAGTGACATTGAGCCCTACCCTACCCACCGTCACTTGAGGCCGGTTGGTGGTGAGGGGCCTCGAGGCATCTCAGGAACACGAGGCAGGTCTGTTCGCTGTCAGGACCTGCGCACAGGTGGGACCCCTGCTGTGGCTGTGAGACCCCTTTTCTCTCCAGGCATAGACCCACTGCCCCCACGTGCCCACCTGCTCCTCCCTCCCCATGTCTAGCACCTGCCCGCAAAGCATGCACACTCACATCCGCTCGCCTTGCCCACCGTTCTGCTCTGTCCCCTCAGCCCTGTGATTGTGGAGATCCCCCACTTTGCCTCCCTCGGCCGTGGGGACCGTGAGCTTGTGGTGCTTCGGAGTGAAAATGGCTCCATGTGGAAGGAACACAAGAACCGCAACGGAGAAAGCTACCTGGATCAGATCCTCAACGGGATGGATGAAGGTAACTGAGCCTCCTTCTTCTGAGAGATAGGATTTGAGGTTGCACTTTTGGGGTGGGCTGTTGGGCCGCCTGGATTTTGGGAATCCCCGAGAGGCTAGAGATGGCCCCATTTGGTCCAGCTCTGGGTTCCTAGGGCATCAGAGTGGGCGCCCAGCCCCACTACCAGGTGCCTGGGGAGGGGGCCTGCACCAGGAGCCAGGATGAGGAGGCTCTGGGGACACAGTGGTGGCTGAGCCTGTGCTCAGCGTGACCGGGGTGGGCGGCACCGTGCCGTGTGATTCCAGAGCTGGGGAGTCTGGAGGAGCTGGAGAAGAAGAGAGTGTACCGAATCATCACCACCGACTTCCCCTTGTACTTCGTGATCATGTCGCGGCTCTACCAGGACTCTGACACCATTGGCCCTGAAGGGGGCTCCCTGAAGAGCACGCAGGTCCCCATGGTGCAGGCAACGTTCCCAGAAAATGCTGTCACCAAGAGAGTGAAGCTGGCTTTGCAGGTGACACAGCCCCCTCCTTGTACAGAGTTCATGGAGGGTGGAAGGAGTTCAAGGCCCTAGGAAGATGACCCTCTTCTCCAGGACACCTCCCACCCCCACTTTTTTCCAATGCCTGAAAATTCCAGTTGGAGAAATGACCTTAAAACTCAAGAGAAAGTTGGGTGGGTGGGATAAGGCAGACGCTCCCTGCTAAGTTGCAGAAAGCCCCAAATAACGTATTAGACTGCATGGCCAGTATGCTCAGCGTGAGGGAATTCCTCATGGCTTCCTGGAGGGGCACCTGATGCTGAGCAAAGACGGCACCACCCGAGGAATGAGGGGCAGCAGGGAAATGGGGAGAAAGGGCTCAGAAAGGAGAGCTAAGCAGTGACGTGAGACTCGGGGCAGGCCCTGTGGTCAGCAAAACGGATCTGCGTGGTCCAGTGGCAGTGGGACCCCCAGAGGAGCCCCTGTGCTCTGCGTGGACAGCCTGCTCTCCCCTTGGGGTCGTGCTGTCTCCTGTCGACAAGGCCTGTGCTGCTCTGGGGCTAAGTGTTCCCCCTCTGGCACTTTGCAGGCCCAGCCTGTACCGGATGAGCTAGTCACCAAACTCCTGGGCAACCAGGCGACGTTCAGCCCCATCGTTACTGTGGAGCCACGGCGCCGGAAGTTCCACCGCCCCATCGGGCTTCGGATCCCACTCCCTCCTTCCTGGACAGACAACCCTCGGGACAGCGGGGAGGGAGACACCACCAGCCTGCGCCTGCTCTGCAGTGTCATTGGTGAGAGGTGCCGCCTTGAGTCTGTCCTGTCTTCTGAGTAGCAGCAGCTCCTTCTGGCCACACTAGGGGGAGACGGGAGAAGGCAAAGCTAGCAGTCACCTGGCGTTTTGTTGGCTTCCCCGGTTTTTGGCTCTTCAAAGGGGTGGAGGGGTGATGCATCTGAGTCTAGTCCACACCCTCCGTGGAAGAGCCCTCTGACCCCTAGAGGTGGGGGTGCTGCAGGTCACTAGGAGGAGAGCATAGGTGTGCTTGGGGCCATATCCAGATATGCCCGTCTCTGCCCTTGCACACTCAGCCCTTAGCATTTTGGTGAGCTCTGTGTCTACATTCTGAAGACTGTCCCCCAGCCCATTTCTGCTCCTGTTGCAGGAGGAATAGACCAAGCCCAGTGGGAAGATATAACGGGAACGACCAAGCTCATGTATGCCAACGAGTGTGCCACCTTCACCACCAATGTCTCTGCCAGGTGAGACACAGCCCACCCCAGCCCAGGGGGCTCGCATGCCCTGCACTGTGCGCTCAGCGCTGCCCCTGCAGGTGGCCATGCTCATGCCATGGCCTGCCCATCCCAGGCTTGACCCTGAGGGTCCTCTGCTGCCCCTCTCCGCATAGAAGCCCACCCTGACCTCCAGGAGAGTTAGAGTGGCCACTACCTGGCTTACGGATTGCTCCTGTTTGGATGGAAATGAAGCTCTCCATCAGACATGTAGGAACATGCTTATAATTAGTCCTCTCTTTTTAGGTTTTGGCTGTCGGACTGTCCTCGGACGGCTGAGGCTGTGAACTTCGCCAGTCTGCTGTATAAGGAGCTTATAGCGGTGCCCTACATGGCCAAGTTTGTCATTTTTGCCAAGATGAATGACCCCCGAGAAGGGCGACTGCGATGCTACTGCATGACGGATGACAAAGTGGACAAGACCCTCGAGCAGCATGAGAACTTCGTTGAGGTGGCCCGGAGCAGGGATATAGAGGTACAGTGCCCGCGTCCCTGTTGCTGGGCCCTCACGGGCCTTCCTCACTTCTCACAACGAGACAAAGCTTCTGGAACTAGGACGGGGTACCTGGGGATTGTTTTCCTGGGACACTGTGATCCAGAGCAGTCAGGAAATCCTGCCTCTGTCGAGGGGCGCCTAGGCAGTGTCTCTTGATCCCTCTCTTGAGAAGCATCCTAGGGAAGCTTCAGTACATGTGAGGGGCTCCGCTGTGTGCATCTCAGGGGAGGCAGCAGATGGTGGGCCCGGTGGCTGGTGAGGATAAGAGCTGACATTGATTCAAGTTCTATGTACCGGGTACTATTCAAAGTGCTTGACTTGCATAATCTCACTGGATTCTCATAACTTGTGTATACTTTTATTATCCCCTCTTTACAGATGAGGAAACTGAGGCCGAGAGAGGTTAAGTAACCTGCCCCAGGTCCCACCACTAAGTGAACAGTAGAGAAAGGATTTGTCCAAGTAGTTTCATCCCAGAGCCCCCGCTTTTCCCTGCTAGCCAGGGTTTCGGTATCGCCCAGAGGAGGAAGCAAGGGACAGGGCTGCACAAATATGTGAGGAGTGAAGAGACAGGGGCCAGATTTGAACCTGTCACTGATCGCAGGACACTCACTCCAGTCAAGATGTGTAATCAGCCAGGACCTTCCCAATTGTTTGGCCGTGGAGCCTGTGCTGAGCCTTCTTTGGGGGCTGCAGGCCTAGAAGAAAGAGCACAGGCTGGAAGTCTGGAGCCCTGCACTAACTAGGCAAAGCAGTTGTTCTGTTTGGGCCTCAATTTCCTCAACTGTCAGATGGGTTCATGGTAACTTCTCAGTTGAAAGCATCATAGGGATCCTTATATTATGAGTGAGATTAAAATATAACATGGTGCTTATAGCACGTCTCATAAACGAAACATTTTTGGACAGGTGTAACCAGGTTTTATTCAGAAGCCATATTATGCTATCCTAGTGGAGTTCTAGAATACTCTGATAGCAATCCTGATCAACTATGCAGGGAAGATTCCTGCTTATTATAAAATCCTTTGCAGTAAGGAAGCATGACCTTGGAAATAAAACCTTTTCCAAAACAAGTAGTACGATTTCCTAGAGCACGTGCCCTGGGCCTCATGCCATAGAGAGGGTGTGTCGTGGGGAAGGAAAACCTAAGCTGAAAGCCAGACAGGACATCTGGGCATTTCTCTCAGCTGTATTTGCTTTCTCCTTCTACAGGTTTTGGAAGGAATGCCCCTTTTTGCAGAACTCTCTGGGAACCTGGTACCCATCAGAAAAGCTGCCCAGCAGCGGAGGTTCCAGTTCCAGTCTTTCCGGGAGAACCACTTGGCCATACCCGTGAAGGTGCTGGCATCCTCTTGCTGACATCTCGCCTGGCTCTAGAAAGTTTGGGAGGCAGGAAGCTCTAAGCCAACCAACCTGGTGGCCTATAGAAAGGCCCCCTGAATCTTCCTGTTGTCTGAATTTAGGTGAGGGACAGCAGTCGAGAACCAGGAGGGTCCTTGTCATTTCTGCGCAAGGCGATGAAGTATGAGGACACCCAGCACGTTCTCTGCCACTTGAACATCACCATGCCTCCTCCCTGCACCAAGGTGAGCTGCCTCCTGCTGAGGGGCCTCGGCCCGGGTGGCTTCCCCTGAGGAGGTCCCAAAACAGACCCCAGGTTGAGTGCTTCCAGAGGGCTTCCTCCTGTTGAAAAGCTGCCTTTGAATTCCCCAAGGCACAGAAAGGCTCCTCGCTCTCCTCTGGACGTATGGCTGTGGCCTGGCAGGGAGAGCATGCCCTGGGCCTTTCTGCAAAGCTCAGGAACAAGGTGTCAGTGTCAGATGGTGAGATGCATGTTCATGCTGTGGGCCCTGAGCTCTCTAGGATGTTCCTTCTAGAAGGTTAGAAGGAGCCTGAAAGGCATCCACCCAGCACGGCTCATCTGAGGCTTGGAACTGGGCGTCAGGTTGCTCAAGGTTTCCCAGCCATTTGATAGCTTTTTTTGGGCCTCTTTTTCATGTACTTGCTTATCTTCCCCAGGGTGCCAGACCCTCAGAGAAGGGAACCCTGGGTCTCAGCCACTGCAAACACCCAGGGTTTTGAGCTCAGCAAAGGCGTCTTGACCAAGTATGTTCATTTATCAATACCTGTAAGAGTATCAGGGTCACCACCTATTAACAGGGACTCTGGAGGGCTCACATGTCTCCATGTTTTTGTTGGTGTTGTTTTGCTGTTGTTGTTTGAATCATCAGCCTTCCATGCCAAACTAGAAAAGAAGCAAGGTTCCGTTCATACGTCTGTGGCTCAATTCCTCTTTTCTGTCTGGGGATGAGGGTGAACCAACTTCTCTTTCAAAAGAGGATTTCCTGCAGCCTGGAACAAGCCTCTGGGTGCTTTTCCACCGGGCTGGGGTGTTAAGCGTTGGCCCAGCATCAAAAACGAGTCTTGAGCAGAAAGGAATCCAGAAAGAAAATCTTGGTTTTTTAAAATGCAAACCCTACTCCACCACTTCTTAGCTGAGTGACCTTGGGCAAGTTATTCAACCCTCTATGCCTCAGTTTCCCCATTGACGAGATGGGCATGATAATAGTACCTACCTCCTAGGTTGCTGTGAGCAGTAAGTGGGCCTGGCGTGTGATAAGGCCACGTGAGTTTATCCTTATTATGATGGTGAATAAAGTGTGTGAGTTTCATCAGCTCCCCTCACCCCCACCCCTTCCCACACTTCCACTCTTTGTGTTGAGGGTCCAAAGAAGTGGAGCTACGTACTGTTTGCCAGGACAACATCATTCCCCACCCCTCGGCCTGCAGGCTCAAATCCCCTTCTCCAAGAAGGGAGGTAGCTGGAAACCCAAAGCACCCTTTTCTTGGTCTTTCTCCTGCAGGGGAGCGGAGCTGACGACAGGAGAAGGACTTTGACGCCGCTGGCCCTGAGATACAGCATTCTCAGTGAATCATCACCCGGTATAAGACTTGTAACCCTCTTTGTGATGCTGTGGGCTCCCTCCCTTTCCAAGGAGGGTGTGAGGTCACCTTCCCTCACCCTGACAAGGGCTCTGCGTCGACGTGATTTACTCAGCCCATTATAAACACAGCGTGTGGAGCCTTTGGCTTGGGTCTCCACCTGACCCGTACAGGTTAAGCAATCAGTCCGGTGTACACTGAGGTCTGCCACGTGACTGAGCATCCACCCGAGGTCATTTACTTCCCCACCAAGGCAGGGATTGGTTCTGTGTCCCGCCAAGGTAACTAAATGAAATCCATTGCTTCTCCCCAGGCTTCCTCAGTGGGACAGACCGAGCAGATATGAAGATGGCTATCATATCAGAACACCTTGGCTTCAGCTGGGCAGGTGAGTTGAGGAATTTGAAGTAGAAAAGCACTTTGCCTGTCTACACCTACGTCTCCACCTCCTCCCCACTAATGAACAACTGATGAAGGCATTTCTAAACTTGTTTTGACTCTGCATTGTCTATCCTATTGGTGATGGTCTTGGATAGGTCTGTCACCCAAGCAACACCTTCGGGTGCCAATGGAAAAAGGTGGGGCTCCCTCCCTCCTCCATGTCTGTCTGGTTTTCCTCTGTAAGAAAGAATCAACTTTTGACAGTACAAAATACCTTAGAATTGATCTAGTTCACCTCATTTTACAGATGGGAAAACTGAGATCCAGCTAAATAGAGTGACTTTAGTTGTGTAGCTAGTTAGTGGCAGAGCCCAGAAAAACCAGTGAACAGATAAAAAACACCAACAAAAAACCTGCCTCCTGACTGCCTGTCCCCTGCTCCCCATATGCTGCTCGTTGCCTGTCCTCAAAGGCTGGCTCTTGCGGGGGAAAGGAGTGAAGAAAAGGGAAAGTCTCAAAATGTTTCATTTACCCGCTCTGGCTGTTGCTGAAGTCTGCCAGAAGTGCCGTCACCAGGAAGGGGAGATCTCTGAAGTGAGGCGGTGGGCGAGAGAAAGGGAGAGCTCATGTTTTACTCAGTCTCAGGCCCTGTAACTTAGTTCTCCTTCCTTCCTCTCCTTTTTTTTGTTAGTTTTTATGTGAATGGACTGCCTTCACTCCATCACCCTACAGAGAGGGCTTCAGACAAACTCTGAAACCTTAGCAATAACTTGCTGAAAGCCAGCATGACACAAAGTTCACAACAGAAGTTCAGGGACAGTTCATTCTTTAACCCAAAAAGGAATGTCTCCTGCTGCTTCTTGGTTATATGTGTCCTGCACACGCACATCCTGATTCTCCTCCGGTCCTCCTCATCCTTGAAATTAGACTCTGATGCTGTTCTCCCTTCTAAAGCACCTGTAAGAAATAACAATGAAGATACTGGGAGGGAGAAAGCTAACATTCTGTGTTATGGCCTTGCATTTAGATGGGAGCTTGTATTTTCATTTCAAATGTAAATAATGCCTTTCCCTGAAGAAACATAAACACAGAAATGCATTTCCGTTATACTTGCTCCTTGGTGGAAAGTAAGTGGTGTCCTGGTGCAGTACAGACAGCGCTGGCGTGGGCACCAGCAAGCCCAGCCCCTCTCCTGGCTCTGGCACCAGCTTGTTCTGTGGCCTTGGGTAAGTGCTAACCTTGCTGAGAGGCTCAGTCTCATTGTCTCATGTTTGAAGTGATGAGAGAAAGAGAGGACATTCGTTCATTCATTCAATACCTATTTACTGGGAACTGCTACTCCTGCCCCATTTTCTGGGGATGCAAAAATGTAGGTGTCTGCATTTCACCAGGTATTTCGTGGTAAGAAGGAAGACCAAATCCAAAGAGAGACTGTTCTTTACCTTCCGGTCTTCCCCACAGTGCCCACTGTGGGAGCTGGGGCCGAGCTCTGGCTAGGCTCACACCTAGTCTTGGTTCTTTGCTTGCAGAGTTGGCTCGGGAGCTGCAGTTCAGCGTGGAAGACATCAACAGGATCCGCGTGGAAAACCCCAACTCCTTGTTGGAGCAGAGTGTAGCCTTGTTGAACCTCTGGGTCATGCGTGAAGGCGAAAATGCAAAGAGTCAGTACCATTAAGCTGAGGAAGCCTTCTATTTCCCAAAGCTGTGCCAGGACCTACTCTTCACCAAAGTAGTTCTTCCTTCAAATTCCATTTGTGATGTTGGGCTTTGGAACGAATCTCTTTGTCACTCTCTGTCTCTGTCTCTCTGTCTTTCTCTGTCTCTGTCTGTCTGTCTGTCTCTCTCTCTCTCTCATACACACACACACACACACGTGCACACGCACATGGACACAAATACACACGCACCTCTCAGGGTCACTGGGTCTTCTAGACAATCCTGCCAGAAGAGACTACCGAGAATCTTGGCCTCCATCTTTTTCCCGTCTTCAGAGATTAGGATAACCATTGCACAGGACCCCTAGATGACAGCGTATGTTTAGGGTGTGGACCTTCCTGTGAATTTCTCACACAAGTGAGGACTGTCCTCTCAGGACAGAGCACGGGGGCGAATCCCGTCTGATGCAGTTCTGTTCTCCCAGGAACATCTTTTTCTCCATCCTGGAGGGAAGATTTGTCTTACTCTTTTCAACTCCTCCTCACCAATTTCCATACACAAAAACACAGAGAAGAAATTGTTTATATTTGCATCTCAGATCAACAAGCAAGGACTGAGAATTTCAAAAGGACAGAGTCCAATCCTTCTCACCCTCATTTTCTTGTAGTATTCCTCTTTGATTACAAAAAAACGTCTTTCCATGTTGTGAAATTGGCCACTGTTAGTGTCTAGAGACAGTCTGTTGGAGGGAAACAGTGTTCTCCAAAGAGGCAGATTTGTTTTGACTCTGACAAAAGAGGGAGGCCTCCACGTTCTGAAAAAATAAATCTCCTCTCTTCTCCCATTTTCCTCCTGGCCTAATTTTCAGAGCCCACACAACATTCCCGCCCTGCTCTACAGTAGTTAGAATTCCTTTCACAAGTGCCCTTCTCTCCTTCTCCCCCAACAGTGGAGAATCTGTACACAGCCCTGCGGAACATTGACCGGAGCGAGATCGTGAACATGCTGGAGGGCTCTGGCCGACAGAGCCGCAATCTGAGACCGGACAGGCGGCACGCGGACCGCGACTACTCGTCATCTCCCTCCCAGATGAATGGTGAGTGTCTCCGGCAGGAGGTGGGGCTGAGCTGTGCCCTGCCTTCCAGGCGCCAGCACGTGACACTTCATGAGACCATCTCCTGGTGGTCTCCCTCCCGGTGGTGGTGAGAGCAGAGGTGAGAGAGAGAGTGGTGCGCACTCCATGCAGAGAGGCTCCCATCAGCCACGGGGCCTGGTGCAGGAGTGGGAAGAGCTGAGTCTGAGCAGGCAGGGGCTCCTCACCCACCTGTTGCAAAGGCTCTCTGTAGCTCTGCACGAGGCCCTGTTGGGGCTTCAGTGTCCCCATCTGTAAAACAGTCAATGGTTGAGAAGCAAAGGGCATGGAGATTCTAGCCCAAGACCTGATGTGGATTAGCCAGATGGTATTTTAAAAGTCCTATTGCCACCCCTTCTGTGAGGCTAAGCGGGTTACTTTTCTTTGAGTCTGGTCTCTCCTTTTCTCTCTCTCCCTTTTTTCTCACCCCATCTCTTTCCCCTCACTCTTTGATGTGGTTCAGCATGGCACGGAGCCTGCAGTGTGACCAGGCCCCTGGGGGGCCCTGACTTTTGCCCTCAGCAAACCCACTGCTGCCTCTTGAGGAGCACTTTCCTTGAAGCAGCAGTGGAAGTAGCCAGCTGCGTGACGGAGCAGGGGCCGGGGACCCTTCAGCCTCTGCTTTGTCTGCCCGCTCTCTAACCAGTGGGCATAGAAACAGGGCAGAGGCCCCACCCTTGGTGGGAGCTGGAGGCCGGGGCTCTAGGCCCTTCTTTCTTCTTGACTCCATGTGCAGCTGAGCCAGCTTCTCTTCTTTGAAATCGGCAAGTTGGATTAGATCCCTAAGATTCCTTGCAGACCTTGAAAAAAAATTTAATTCCGTGAACTGTCTTCCTCTGGCGCCTAATATGTCACCCTGACAGCTGCAGCACACTTTTTATCCTCCCCAAGCTCCTAGTTTAACGGCCGTCCCCAGCCACGCACACGTGTGTGGCACCTGTGGCATGGTGCACTCGCCACGAACGGGTAAGCTCCAGGCTGGGCTGGGCGCGGGGCCTCCTTCCACCAGGTGGAGCCTGTGCATGCCGAGCCCCTCCCCGTGTCTCTCTCCCGTGTCCTGTGTCTCCTGAAACATGCCATGTGGTGTCACTGGGTGCAGGGCTCGTCTGTTGATCACGTCCAGTCACCTCTCTCTTCTGCCTCTGACCTCATCTGGACCTCTAGTCCACTCATTCTCTCACACTGCCCGTCTCCACTGTCTCCACCTCGGCCAGGTGTCCAAGAGCCGTCAGCCTCCACAAATGCATGTCCTGAGAGACCCCAGCCCTTCCCCTCCATGCGTCTCACACCGTGTGCGAAGGCATGTGTGTGCGTGTGTGCACGGGGTGTTGTCTGGCTCCGGGGAAGGCTGCATACTGCACGCTGCTCACTCTTCAGATCAGCGTGAAGGGCTCCAAAACGTCTGTGTCTCACACCGTGTGCGAAGGCATGTGTGTGCGTGTGTGCACGGGGTGTTGTCTGGCTCCGGGGAAGGCTGCATACTGCACGCTGCTCACTCTTCAGATCAGCGTGAAGGGCTCCAAAACGTCTGTGTCTCACACCGTGTGCGAAGGCATGTGTGTGCGTGTGTGCACGGGGTGTTGTCTGGCTCCGGGGAAGGCTGCATACTGCACGCTGCTCACTCTTCAGATCAGCGTGAAGGGCTCCAAAACAGTGTCCCAGCCACGTTGCTCAGGGGACCTGGTTGGAGCATTGCAGGGACAGCTCGGTAGACCAGCCCCTTTCCCAGAGGGAAGAAGGGAGGGCCGTGGAGGACAGCTGCCGACTGTGGGAAATCCACGTGACAGCGCTTCTCCTTTCTTGTGTGTAACCGATCACCTGTTGGGTTTCTTAACATGCCCAGCACTGCTTCAATCAAGTCAAATCAGCGAGTTTTGGGTTTTCGTACCCCAGTTATGTACCTACAGGACAACAGGCTAATAGAATTACATGAGAATAAACAAGGCAGTTATAACAATTAAAAATCTGTCAGAAGACGAGATCCCATGTTAAGTGTTCTGAACACAATAAAATTAAAAAAAAGGAAAAAGGGCAGTAGCAGACCCAGGCACTTATGAACGTCTCCCAGTGGCCACAGGACTCGCAGCCCTGGTCAGGCCTAGACACTCTAAGGCCTACAGAGAGTTCTAAACCCCTGTGTGGACTGGGTGTGTATATGCTCCAGGACTGGTGAGAAGGGCATTGTTTCAGTGGGTCAGCTCATTTGACAAATATTTTTTGAATACCTTCTACATGCCAGGGGCTGTCTAGGCAGGGAAGATAAAGCAGGAGTCAAATAGACAAAAAAAGCCACAACTGTGCTTTCCTGGAGCGTCCCTCCTGTTTGGAGAGTCAGACAATAGCTTGACATGTAGGTGACTTATCTAATGTGCTAGCAGGTTACAAGAATGGTGTGGAAAAAAAATAGACTCGAGTAAGAGGGATCAGAGTGCTGGGGTGGGGGATTGAATAGCGGGGTGGGAGTGGGAAGCATTTTGACAAAGGCTGGAAGGAGATGTGGGAACAAGTTATGTGAACATGAGGAGAGGGCATCAGACAAGCATACAGCCATGCTGTGGCCCAGAGGGGGTGTGCCTGGTGTGTCCACAGAACAGCGAGGGCTTTAGGGGCTGGGCAGAGGGAGGGAGGAAGAAAGGGCAGGAGTGGAGGTCAGAGGGCACAGGCAGGCGGCTCTTACAGACTATCCTAAGGACATAAAGTTGTACTTGGAGTGAGATGGAAAGCCATTGGAGTCTTGGAGCAAAAGAGTCACATGATCTAACTTTAAAGGATTCCTCTCTTGGCTTTGTTGATTGTAGACGGTCACAAATTGAATGCTTCTGTGTTTCCTGGCTTCTTTGTCCAGCCTCATCAGCCCCTCCTGACCCCCTCCTCCAGCAGGGCTCCTGATAGCCACAGGCCGTGTGCCCTGCCTGCATGCTTCTCCCACTCAGAGACACCCGGCTCAGTCCCTTCCGCCTTTCTGGGCACCAGAATAGGCTCCTGTGTGTTTTTCCTGCCCTTTTCCCTGTCCCAGGAAGACCATCCCACATCTGGGTGCCCTTTTGGCCCGGAAAGAAGGAGCAGGGGGAATCAGAGGTAGAAGAGTGGGGAGATACAGCCTCCTGTGGTTTCTCTGGCTTTCTCCTGGGCAGGGGCGATGATGGCTTGTCCCAGGGCTACCCCAGCCCTCTGTACTAATGGTGACAGTCATACCCTGCCTCCTTTGTGCTTTACCTCGTTTCTCTGCATGTGTGAGCTTCCTTTTGAAGCCATAGGGACTAAGGGCAGTGATTGGTTGCTCTGTGGTGTCAGGAAAATAGAACCTGAGGTCTGTTTTCCTTCCTTGCTGGCTTCTCTTGCCATACGCACCTGGACTGGCCAGAGCAGAAGGAGGTTTAAGTCAAAAGTTTGCTTCCCCTGCACAGGAGGGGACTACCTCGAGCCCTTGGGTAGTAAACGTGAAGAAAAAAATTACCTATAAAGCAAAGAAATAGCACGTTCCTAAAAATAAAACAGATTTCTCATATGAAAGGAAAAAATAGACATCCCACACCCATACTTGTCAGCTGCATTTGGTTTGGTAAATTTGGCACATATTAATGTCTACTTAGAAATAAATGCATTTTATTTCTATCGACTCTTAATGAATACAGTTAGTGAAATGTGGCTTCTGTGGCTTCTCTCTGAGGCCAGGTTGTCTGTCCACTCTTGTCTAGCTTGCTACTGACATTAATTTAGTAGAGTAATCATTATGTGGGTTAGCAGAGATCCAGTGGGATAACCCAAGACCAAGAGAGACCTGGGGGGGAATCCTGGTCTGTGCTCTGCTTTTTGGTCTGTGCTCTGCCCCAAAGCAGTATGTATGGTTGCCTTTTACCTGATTTCCCCAAAATGCAAGCCCAGAGGAGAGACCTCTAGACTGAGGGATGAGTTGGTGACCCAGGGATGGCAGGGCCACATAAGAGTTCTGAAACTTAACCTAAGGGACTCAGCAGACCTTTTTTTTTTTTTTTTTGGTGAGGAAGATCAGCCCTGAGCTAACATCCATGCTAATCCTCCTCTTTTTGCTGAGGAAGACCGGCTCTGAGCTAACATCTATTGCCAATCCTCCTCCTTTTTCTCCCCAAAGCCCCAGTGGATAGTTGTATGTCATAGTTGCACATCCTTCTAGTTTCAGCAGACCTTTTAATGGTCTGGTCCACCCCAAACCTTGTGAGATGGTCCTCATGAGGATGTACTCAGGCCTTAGTGAGCATTGCTCCGACTTAACAGTAATCGCCACCTACACTGAGTATGGCCACCTACAGCCTCAGATCCAAGCTTGTGGAAGGATCAGTGGGGTCCTCTGGAGACTGAGAGGGAACAGTGAGGCACAGCCCCTAAATACCGTTACCAGGGGAGGGGCTCTAGGGTAAACACAAGGCAGGAAGTCCTGGGAGAGGGTGTGCATGAGTTCTCTTCACAGACACATTTTCATTTGGGTGAAATTCCATTAAAGTGAACACCATGGAAATTTCAAGGTGGAAGAGTCACAAAGGGTACCCAAGAATGAGCCTCAGGTGTTCTGTATTCAGTAGGGTTACCATTTCCCAGTGCTTATCAAGTCTTACAGAGATTCCCAGGAGTGTCAGAATGTTCATTGGGCCTTACTCAAGGGGCTTTTTAAGATCCATTCTATTTCTGGCCAAGATGAGGTAACAGGGACTGATCTTCTGCTTGAAATAACTAAAAAATGGACAAATATATGAAACAACAGTTTTCAAGCCATTGGACATCAGGCAGCAAAGGACAGTGATCCATGATACATGGGAAATAAATGAGGTGAACCCTACAATTGCCTGGATTACTGTCTCGGAAGAGTTTCTAGGTCATGGCATAGGGAAGAGAAATCCAAGAAGACTCCCTGGTTTGAGGCGGAGTGGCGGAGAGTCCAGATAGACCAGGGCACTAGAGTTCCCAAGATAGAGTACCAGGGCAGAGAC